TGTAGCCTTGCCACCACAATCAGTGCTGCCCAGGGCACCCCATTCCTGCCCTAGGGCTGGGACACCAGCTGCTGCAGTTACAGAGAGCAAAGCAACAATGCAATGTGGCCCCCATTGCAGCTGTGAGGAGGCTGGCTGCAGGCTCTGGGCCACAGCTGACGGTGGCAGTTACCAGAGCTGCATGTGCCAAGCATGTGGGGCTGGGAACAAAGCAGTCCTACCTACTGCTCCAGGGCCTGCACCAAAGCCTTGTGCATGGGAGCAGCTGATTCTCCTGGGACAGAAGCAGGAACAGCCACCAGGAAAAAGCAAGATCAAGGGGGTCCTGTATCCCCCCCCCGCCAGGCTTAAGGCAGCAGCTTAAAGGAAAGGAGCAAATGGAGGCAAGTCCATGCTTGGGGTGGCAGGCGAACCCCCTCCTTGCCCACCTTGCCTCCCCAGGTGCCTCTGTATAACAGGTATGAGGCTCTGGATGTGGAAGGACAGTCCATGGATGATGTGAATGATGGTCCAGATACACCAGAGGTGTTGCCAAGGTCAGAAAGGCCCTGCATCACAACCACCCACACGAGGAAGAAAAGATGGGTTATAGTTGTAGGTGACTCCCTTCTGAGGGCAACTGAAGGTCCAATACGCCTGACAGACCCTTCTTTTAGGGAAATCTGCTGCTTCCCTGGGACCCGGGTTAAGGACATCACTAGGAAACTTCCTAGCCTGGTGTGGCCCTTGGACTATTACCCACCACCGTTCTTCCATGTGAGTGGTGATGAAGCTGCAACTCATAGTCCAAGGGCGATCAAAAGAGACTTCAGAGCCTTGGGATGGTTGGTAAGGGAATCTGGAGCACAGGTTATTTTTTCCTCCCTCCTTCCACTTGTGGGCAGCAACACAGGGAGGAACAGACAGGCCCAGTCTATTAATGCATGGCTCTGTGACTGGTGCCACCACCACAGTTTCAGGTTTTTTCATAATGGGACAGCCTACTGGCATCAGATGGGATTAACCTTTCTCAAAGGGGGAGAAGGGTCTTTGCTTGCAAGCTAGCAGGGCTTATTGACAGGCCTTTAAATTAGACTTGAAGTGGGAGGGGGATAATATCAGGCTTATGGCAAGTCGTGGGATAACACACCAAGGTTAGAGGGATGGGGTGCTAGTGAGGCCCCTCAGCCTGTTGCACCAGAGAAAGACCTCAAAGGAACTAAAGGGTGTTCCTCTAAGAGGGTGATAGGGCTGACAGCCCAGCTGAAGTGCCTCTACACTAATGCATACAACATGGGCAACAAACAGGAGGATTTGGAAGCCACCGTGCTGCTAGAAAGCTGTGACCTGATTGCCATCATTGAAACTTGGTGGGATGAATCCCACAGCTGGAGTCCAGCTATCAATGGCTACAGCCTATTCAGAAGGGACAGGCAAGGAAGGAAGGGCAGAGGTGTTGCCCTCTATGTCAAGAAATGGATAGATTGTGAAGAGCTGTCTCTGAAGAATAGCCACAAGAAGGTCAAAAGCTTATCGGTAAGAATCAGGGACCAAGGCAGCAAAGGGAACCTTGTGGCTGGTGTCCACTACCAGCTGCCCAATCAACGGGAGTCTATTGACGAAGCTTTCTTACTCCAGCCACAGAAGGCATCATGCTCGCAGGCTCTTGTCCTACTGGGGATCTCAACCACCCTGACATCTGTGAAAAATAGCACGGCGAGCTGTAGGCAATCCAGGAGACTCTTGGAGTGCATGGAGGATACCTTCCTATGCCAGGTAATAGACAGCCCTACCAGGAGGGATGGAATACTGGACCTGCTGGTCACCAATGCATGTGAGCTAATTGGTGATGTCAAGATTGGAGGCAGCCTGCACTGCAGTGATCATGCGCTGCTGGAGTTTGCAGTTCTGAGGGATGTGGGACAGGCAAAGAGTAAAGACAGGACCCTGAATTTTAGGAAAACAAACTTCCAGCTCTTCAGGGAGTTAGTCAATAGGACCCCCTGGGAAACTGCCCTCAGGGACAAGGGAGCAGAACAGAGCTGGCAGATCTTTAAGGATGCTTTCCATAGAGCACAAGAGCTCTTGATCCCCAGGTGTAAGAAATCAGGAAAGGAAGACAAGAGGCCAGCATGGCTGAGTGGAGACCTGCTGGTCAAACTAAAGGGCAAGAAGGAAATGCACAGGCAGTGGAAGCAGGGATGGGTATCCTGGGATGAGCACAGGGACACTGCCCAGGTGTGTAAGGGTGAGGTCAGGAGAGCCATGATGCGGCTGGAGCTGAACTTGGCAAGGGATGCAAAGAATAATAAGAAGGGCTTCTACACGTATGTCAGCCAGAAAAGGAATGTCAAAGAAAGCATACTCCTCCAATGAGCAAGACTGGCAAACTGGTAACAACAGATGAGGAGAAGGCTGAGATATTCAGTGAATTCTTTGCCTCAGTCTTCACTGGCAATGTCTCTTCCCACATCTCTCGAAGGGATGGACTGCAAGATGAGGACTGGAGGAGCAAGGTTCCTCCCACTGTAAGAGAAGATCAGGTTCAAGACCACCTGAGGAACCTGAACATACACAAGTCTATGGGACCTGATGAGGTGCATCCCAGAGTCCTGAGGGAACTGGCTGATGTAGTTGCCAAGCCACTCTCCATGATATTTGAAAAGTCATGGCAGTCAGATGAAGTCCCTGGAGACTGAAAAAACGGAAACCTTGCACCCATTTTTAAAAAAGGTAGCAAGGAGGACCCTGGAAACTACCAACCCATCAGCCTTACCTCTGTGCCTGGGAAGATCATGGAACACATCCTCCTAGAAGCTATGCCAAGGCACATGGAGGACAGGGAAGTGGTTCGGGACAGCCAGCATGGTTTCACCAAGGGCAAGTTCTGCCTGACCAACCTAGTGGCCTTCTGTGATGGAGTGACCACATCAGTGGACAAGGGAAGAGCTATCGATGTCATCTATCTAGACTTCTGTAAGGCCTTTGACATGGTACTGCAAAACATCTTTCTAAATTAGAGCGATACAGATTTGATGGGTGGACTGTTCGGTGGATGAGGAATTGGTTTGATCTTCACATCCAGAGGGGGGTGGTCAACGGCTCAATGTCCATATGGAGATCGGTGATGAGTGGTGTCCCTCAGGGGTCCATATTGGGACCAATACTTTTTAATATCTTCATCAATGACATAGTGGGATCGAGCGCACCCTCAGCAAGTTTGCAGATGACACCAAGCTGAGTGGTGTGGTTGACACACCTGAGGGATGGGATGCCATCCAGAGGGACCAGGACAAGCTCAAGGAATGGGCCCATGTGAACATCCTGAGGTTCAACAAGGACAAGTGCGGAGTCCTGCACCTGGGTCGGGGAAACCCCCAGTATCAATGCAGGCTGCAGGATGAAGTAATCGAGAGCAGCCCTGCCGGGAAGGTCTAGGGGTACTGGTGGATGAAAAGCTGGACATGAGCTGGCAATGTGCAGTTGTAGCCCAGAAGGCCAACCATATCCTGGGCTGCATCCAAAGCAGCGTGGCCAGCAGGTCGAGGGAGGTGATTCTGCCCCTCTACTCCACTCTGGTGAGACCCCGCCTGGAGTCCTGCATCCAGCTCTGGAGCCCTCAGCACAGGACAGACATGGACCTGTTGGAGCAGGTCCAGAGGAGGGCCACCAAAATGATCAGGAGGGTGGAACACCTCTCCTATGAAGAAAGACTGAGAGAGTTGGGGTTGTTCAGCCTGGAGAAAAAAAGGCTCCAGGGAGACCTTCTTGCAGCCTTCCAGACTTAAAGGGGGCTTATGGGAAATATGGGGACAGATTTTTTAGCAGGGCCTGTAGTGATAGGACAAGGGGTAATGGTTTTAAACTAAAAGAGGGTAGTTTTAGGCTAAATCTAAGGAAGAAATTTTCTATAATGAGGGTAGTAAAACACGGGCACAGGTTGCCCAGGGAGGTGGTAGACGGCCCATCTGTGGAAACATTCAAGGTCAGGTTGGACGGGGCTCTGAGCAACCTGGTCTAGTTGAAGATGTTCCTGCTCACTGCAGGGGGGTTGGACTAGATGACCTTTAAAGGTCCCTTCCAACACAAAGATTCTATGATTCTATGGGCAAGCACCATATATAAGGCCTAGCTGAAACGGGCATTTCTTCTGTGGGTCACTGGTCCACAGCAATGTGCATTGCCACATTGCTCCTTTTATTTTCTTGCTGTTTCATGTCTTTGGCCTTAGTTTCCAGAGTTGTGTGGTTTTACTGGTTAGTTGAGTGAGCATGTTAAAAAGAAGCGAACACTCCATATTATGGAGAGGAGAATGACTCACTCCCATGGACTCCAGACTAAAAAAAAAAGCAAAGAAAAGAAGCCAAATGGCTTGTGAGATCTCATTATTGAGGTCATTTTTGTTACCTTGCATATCCAATTTCCTTCTGAGACAATGGAAGTGGTTCGCCCTGCTATTTGACTGCCCTTGTCTTAGGATGCATCTCCATCTGTGAGACATTTTTCAGCCCCGGTGTTTGCCAGTAGCTGGCATGTCCTGACTTGCCCTGTCTGCCAGCTGCCCTTGTGCCCACTGCTGTGGCCAGCTCATGTGGGTGGGGGACAAGCTGATTTACTGAGCAAATAAAGGGGATGAGGGGCTGCCCAGCTGGACAGGTACAGGTCTTCTTTACATCCTCAGATGTAAGCTAGTGCCACCCACCACCGCCCAGGGACTTGCCTTACATGCTCAGCTTGTGTAGAGACAGTTCTGCTCAAAATGCCTCAGGGCTGCCCTCATCTCCTGAAAACCTCTGGCTCCCATCAGCCACCAAGTAACCCCTGGTCACAGGGTTTGGCCACACCTGTGCCATTCACAGCTCTCTTCACCTGCTAGCAGGAAGGAGGGAGGGAAGAAGGAAGAGCAGGAAGAAGGGGAGGGAAGGAGGAAGAGAAAGAGGGAGGGAAGGAGGCTGCATTTGGCAGCTACCTCCAGCAGCTAGAGCCAGAGCAGCTGACATTCACAGTGGGAGAGGCTCGCAATGACCTCGGCAACTTCCACCGCCTCTTTGCCCAGTGGCCTGGCTGTCCTGACAACTTTCCCAGATGTGCTCTTCATTCCTGAAATTGTGAGTGCTGACTTTTCCCTGGGGAGGGAAGATGCTGCTTGTGGGGCATCCAGTACACTTGGTGCTGCAGGTACCTGAGGGATGAGACCTGACACAGGAGCCACAAGGGTCTGGGGGCAGCCCCTGATGCCTAGCTCACTCTCAAAGAAAACAACCAGCCCCAAGCTGGGGGCTCTGAAGCTCTCCTTTAGTCTGCAGGGGATTTCAGTGGTGCCTCTGAAAACCTTTTGTAACTTCCTGCCTAACAAAGTTGAAGGGCGATTGCTGGTGGGTTTAAAGTAGGTTGCCAAATTGAGACAATTAACTGGAAGATGATTTTAGCAGCTGATACAGGCAGAGGACAAACTGCTTGCTTAAAGCATGGGGTAAAGGCTAGCTGAGGTAACTGTTTGCAACAGTAAAGAGCCTAGGCTGCTGAAGCTGTACTGCTCAGCTGCACCATTGCTGAACTGGAGATGCAGTGTGCTGGACCTGGGTGTGAGGGCAACGGTGGGTGAGCAAAGGGTGAACAAACACCTTGTAACTTCTTCCCATATTGTAATTTCGTTGAGTAGGAGAAGATCATAATCTTAATGGATTTGGCACAGGTGATTAAAAGCAATTGCTGTGGACACTGACTGGAAGATGGAAAGTTTCAACTAGAACCTTTTTCCTGTGTCCTTTTCCCCTGCCCCTAAACCTGCTCTTCTCACAACAGTTTGAGAGGCTTTTTCCAAAGCCTGAGCGCTTTTCATCCTGTATTAAGGGGTTTGGCTGAGTGTTGTAGAACAGCACTCAGATTATTTCATGCTTAAAAACTTCAATTTTGCCATCTGGTACCAAATAATTTCCTGTCACCCAACTCAGTCCACAATCCTAGGATTTACAGCATTTGCTTCATTCTCTAGTGATTGCAGTCAAGCAAAGAGGAATTGGGTTAAAGCAGGCATTACTGATGTGTGGAGAAAGGCTTTGCTTCAGTTCCTCCAAATATGCTTTGGGGACTTGGTGTCCCTGCCCAGATTCTGAGAGCAAGGTTTCCTGCAGCTGCATGAAGGAGGGTGCAAAGTCTCTGTGGAGGTTCTGGCTGGGCAGACACTTGCCAGCCACCCCTGCCACTGGGTTGCGTTAGTCCTGGTGCTGAGCATGCTGTTGGCCTCTACATGCTTATGGTACCTGCTGTTCCTTCAACTGCTTGTTTGTAATTCCTGTCTCCAGGGGATTTGGCAAGGCAGCTTGCTTAATTAGACAAAAATAAGCACCCTATCCTTTGGTTTGGGTAAAATCTGGAAATGTGCATCCTAAAGGCTCAGGAGCCACCCAGGAAAGAGGAATGCTGCATAACCGGATTTCTTGTATGACTCTAGGTTGTGCAGCTATATTATCTCTGCTGTGTACAAAGGAGGTGGCTGCCTTGAATCACAGCATTCAGAAGGATATAGAATTTCTCAATCCGTAGTGGAATCTGGTGTTGCCTGCAGTGGGTTAAAAATTTTAAGAAATTCTAAGTATTAGTAATTTAAAAATTCTAAGAAAGACAGTTGCAAAAATGCCAGAAGGTCCTGCCTGCATCTCAGATGATTGCCACATGTGGATGTGCTGATTAAGAACTACCATTTTCATTCTGTGAGGGTGGGTTTAATTCTTGTAATCTGTTTTATTTGAAGAGCTTTCTGCATACATGGATAGCGAGGCCTATGTGCAAAAGCTGAAACAAGCTGAGAAGAGATATGTTTTGTTTGTAAAAGGCTATTTAAATGACAAGTTTTTCTTAGCCTGCTGTCCCCAACATGCTGTGGGTTGTTATTGAAAGCCTCTTGACTCCTTCCTCATTTTTATGAGTCTGCTCAACAGCAGCACTATAAAACCAAAGTCAGTAATCAAACCATGTCAAACATACTTTCCTGAGCGAGAAATCACATCCTACAGAAAGGAGAGATGGGGAGTGGTAAGAAATGAGAAGTGATACTTCTTCCCCCAACCTCGTATCTCACCCCAAATGTGTTGGATTTTAATGGAGCAACTGTAAGGTTTTCTCCAGGATCTTTAGCTGTGCTGCACTCGTGGTGTTACCACATGAGTTATTACAGGGATTGGATTAGTGGTCAAGTGTCAGTCTTTGGTTGTTACAAGAGGCACCAAAACAGCAGCACTTTGGATGACCTATTTTCACTCAGATATTTGCAAGGTGTCAACCACATCAATGATGTGATGTATCACTTTGCATAATGTAACTGATGAACTTTCCTAAAAATGTGGTGTGACACAAATGGTGTGACATATTCTGAGTATCATAAATCAGAAACTTTTTTTCCACTTGAAAAATGCCTCCAAGGAAATGGAAGTGCCATGATTTGTATGAGTTGTCACCTGGATGCTGGTAAAGGCTGGCCTGGCATACACTGGCTATCAGAATGATCTTAGAGTCAGTGAGGCTGTCTTAGCTCTGGAGATTTGCCTGCAAATCCAAGACCAGCCACTAATGAGGGATAGGTCCCCCCAGCAGCACTGGTCTCCATACAGTGTGGATTCAGCTGAGGGGCTCCTCATTATAGGAGGCTGCATAGACTAAACTTTGCAGAAGTTCAAGAAACAACTGGGCTGATTTGTATCAGAGAAGATCTGCTGAGTGCATTTTAGTGCAAAGACACCACTTGTAGCTCGGACATTCCACAGCATTGGACATTGTGCTCTCATCCTCTTGTGTAGGAATCTGCTGTTGGAGAAAGCATGGAGCCTAGATATAGCTGTCCTTGTGTTCCCCACCCCACCAGTAAACCGATAGCAAACTCCCAAGGCTGGCTGAGAAGAATGGGGTCCCACTTGCTACTGGACCAGCAGCTGGTAACTTGGACAGCTCCAGTGTAACCAGTGAAGGATGACCCAAATAGCTGGAGCAGCAATATAAGCCCCCCTTCCCAGGAGGTGCTGGGAGCCTCAACCTTATTTCCCCTATCTCAGAGAGTAAAACTGGCTGTATTACCTCTCTTCAACTTGTTTTCTCTCCTTTCAGTGTGACATTTGCATGTGTACTTCATTAAGGAAATGTCTGTGGCCTTCATGAGGCCACATGTCTGTGCTGTTTGCACAGGTGAGCTGGGTTTGACACTACTCCTTTCAGGGATCTGCCACACTGGGTGTGAAGCAAATGTGCCCTGAATTAAGCCTCCCTGTTCATCGAAACCAGCCTTCAAAAATGTCTGAACAAGCCTCCTGAGCACACTGATGTGGGGAGGGCGTGAACGGCAGTGACACCAGGAGGCAGGGCTACAGTGAGGCTTTTTTTGGGTCAAGATCAGAGGCAGATGCTCCCAGCTAAATACCCAGTTTTAAGTGGAGTCTGGGAATAAGTCAAAGGCATCCCTGGGCTATTGCTACGTGCAGTGCTAGTGCCAGAGGTGTGCATGGCTTTTGGCTCTACTCTGGATAACCTAATTTATCCCATGCTCTCCTTCTCTCCCACTTTCACTTGCAGATATTTGGGGGCCTTGTCTGGATCCTGGTGGCATCCTCGAAGGTCTCGTCATCCATCCTGCAAGGCTGGGTGATGTTTGTCTCTGTGTTCTGCTTCATCATGTCCACCACCCTCCTGTGCCTCTATATCTGTGGGGCGCATGGGGGCAGCAGCTCCTGGGTCACCTTGGTAAGTGGATGTGACAAACCTCAGAGCCTCTCCCCTCCCTGGTATGACTGGTAGACAATTGTCTCCTTTGCTGCTACTGCACTCCAAATCACAGGCTGGGGCTTGCTTGTGTGGGTTCCCTTTTTTTCCCCTTTGCAGTGCGCTTCCTCCTTGGAAATGACTGTGTGATCCTTGTTTCTTAGGATGTCATCTGCCAGGAGACAGCAGCTCTGTTCTACCTCAGTGCTGCCGTGTTGGAAGCCTACTTCACCTACAGCATCAGCTTGTCTAGTGATGCTCTGATCATCTACCAGGAGAACATTGCTGCTGTGGTGAGTACCTGGCAAGCAGGGGAAGGAAGGTGAGGAAGTGACTATGGAGCAGCTTCACGGGCAAATCTTGCACCAACCATTGGGGGGGGTGGGTGGGAAAGAAACTAGTCTCAGTCCTACTGTGCATGAATGTCTTCAAACATGCAAGAGTCAATGGAAATATAATGCACCATGAGGTGTTTGCTCAGTGCAGGAACTCATACCGTACAACAAGAAGTTAACTGGCTGATGTATTTTTCCATTGTAGGTTTTTGCGTTCTTAGCTACCCTGATGTACGTGATCCATAAGGTGTACTCACTCCTGCGATGGAAATCATCCTAAGAGCCTCCCCTCACAAGTGTGTCTTGTAGTCACCTCATGAACACAAAAGTTGTTCAATAACTGCAGTTTCCAGGCTGGGTTTGGGTTTTGGTTTTTAATGTATAAACTATAAACAAGCAGCTTTTTATGTGGGACCATGGCAATGAAGACAAAGAGCCTGCCAGACAAAGTTATATCCTGGCACAATCTGTTTCCCTTCAGTCTCTTCTGGGTTGGATATAGCTTGATGCTGGTAATTTGGGCCGAAACAGAAAAACATCCAGTTTTAAAAAGAATAATATAGTTGGGCTCAAAGTGCTAAAATCTCCCTGAACTACACCTTTATGCTTCCAGGGTTGTTACTGCTATCGGGGGAAGCCTGAACCAGCACTACGGAGCACGAGTATGAAACTGGGTCATTTTAATTGTCGCCTATGCATGTAAGCCTGTTTCTCTCCCTAAACCTTTTGTGCCAAAAGAACATTTTCAGGCAGTTTCTGGAAATGTCATCTCTGACTCGTGATGAGAAATGGGGACAATATTTAACTTGCCTCAGAGGCAATATGAGTTATTGCAACACCTGAAGGGTATTGCTGAATCATGAGGCACAACCATAATGCCAGGAATTACCGCTGTCTTTAATGCCCCTACAAAATACAACTTAAAAGATGCACAGTCGGCTGTAGGAGAATTGTATGGATGAGTAGAATAACATCTTGAATAAGCAGAGGTAACCAACTCTTTCTTGTCTTTGGTGCATGGCTGCTCTCACATACACCAGCACTATGTTGCTAATAAAGATGGGTTTGCTGTGATTTTGCAAGTAGACAAGAGTCACTTCTGCTATTTTCCCTTTGCTGCACACAGGTACACAGCCCTGTACAGCATCAGGAGCACTGCACTGTAACAGGGCAATGTCTAAGAAGGAGGCACAGACCTGGGTATGAATGACAGGACTTTTCTGGCAAGGGGAGCCTGTGGGGCTCTAGCCAGGGCCAGGAGCTAAACTGTCTCAGGTTAATGTCAGTGATGATGTTCATCTGAATGCTTAAATTACTCCAGAGTGTTAACTTGCGTGAGTGTGCTGGTTTTGGCTGGGATAGAGTTAATTTTCTTCATAGTAGCTAGTATGGGGCTGTGTTTTGGATTTGTGCTGAAAACAGTGTTGATAATACAGGGATGTTTTCATTGCTGCTGAGTAGGACTTACTTATAGAGAGTCAAGGCCTTCTAAACCACCCTGCCAGCGAGTAGCCTGGGGGTGCACAAGAAATTGTGAGGGGACCCAGCTGGGACAGCTGACCCCAACTGACCAAAGGGATATTCCAGCCCATATGACGTCATGCTCAGCATATATATCTGGGGGAAAGAAGGAGAGAGAGGCGACATTCGGAGTTACGGCATCTGTCTTCCCAACTGTTATGCATGATGGAGCCCTGCTTTCCTGGAGATGGCTGAACACCTGCCTGCCCATGGGAAGTAGCAAATGAATTCCTTGTTTTGCTTTGCTTGCGTGCACGGCTTTTGCTTCATCTATTAAACTGTCTTTATCTCAAGCCACGAGTTTTCTCACTTTTACCCTTCTGATTCTCTCCACCATCCCACCAGGGGGGAGTGAGCAAGTGGCTGGGTGGTGCTTAGTTGCCAGCTGGGGTTAAACCACGACAGTGAGTTAGTTTAAATGGAGTTTAGACCCAAGAAGGTGTGTTTTCACATGTTATAGGTGCTTAATAAACAGTGGTACCAAATTAGCCCTTCCAGCTTGTGGGGCAAAAAGTGCTTCCATTTTGAGTCTCAAGTTCCTGGATAATAACAAAGACTGAGAATGGAAGGGAAATGGAAGTTGACTTGGAGACACCTCTGTTGCTTCAGATCCACGGGACAGTTTTGAGCTGTGACCATGGATTTGGGTTGAAGTTTTTAATTGCAATGTGAAGAAAACATTGGCTTTTTAACTTGTTTTTTCCTTGCTGAAAACCAGCCTGACTTGTTTTGCTTGTGTTAGTGTGACAAAAGCAAGCTGATTGCAACAGAGGTGGAAAAAGAAACCCCTTTTAAGAGCAGGGAGGAGAACTCACAGCCAAGTTGACAATGGCACTTGGTTCTGAAGGTTTAACACGCACCTGTTGAAACTGGTTTCAACATCACGTCATCGTGGGGTGTGTGTGCGTGGAGGGGGTTGGTGCTCAGATTTGCCCTGCTTCTATTTATGCCCCTGAATTTAGCATTAAAAAACAAAGACGCTTTTCTGTTTGGGTCTATTCAGAAAGGCAGACATTTGCAGTCATACCCTGGACGCTGGGATGCGGTATCTCTCTCCACCTTCTGCACCCAGGTGTGCCCAGCACCTCTGCCCCAAGCAGTGCTGTCTGTCCCCTCACGTCCATGTCCCTGTGCCTCGTGGCCATCACATTTGTAGTCTACGTCTTGGCAGGGCTCCCATCTCTCCTCCCAAATTCTTTCTGCCTTGCTTTGCCCCTTCCCTGCCACACACCAGTTTACACCAGTCTGCACTAGTTCACCTGCTCGTCCCTTTCCTTCTGGCCCCACCTGGTTTGCTGAGATACCTCCCCCCCAGCATTAGCATAACCTTGCTGTAAACCAGCACTGGAAAAAACCAGGCAGGTGCTGCTGGCATGGGAGTGCTCATCAGCCCCAGTGCAGCTGTGGAGCAAGCTGAGACAAGGTTGTGGACACGGCATTGGGAGGGAGGCCCTGTGGCCCCAGTGTAACCTGGGCCAAGTTTTTGCCTGGGGAGGGCTGGGCAGAGAGAAGGGCCACCACACTGTCAAGAGCATCCAGAGAACTGATACAAAGCAGTGCTGCAACTTTGAAACCCTCCCACTGTGGCCACAACTTCAATCCCATGCAGCTGAACAGCTTGCAGGTGAATGTGTGTCCCTGTTTGGCACAGGGCTGCTGGAGTCCAGCATAGGACCAAGACACAGTGCTTTGTTGCACCAGGCTGCTGAACTGCACCTGTCAGGTGCCAGGTGAGTTGCAGCAATATGCATGTTCCCTGCATGGTAGAAAGAAGAGTAAAAAGAGAAAAAGAAAATTAAGAAAATACCCCGTGGTCTCCATTGCCCATCATGCCCAGCCCTCCTATCAGTCTCAATAGAGCCACATGCCCTGGAAGCTGGGCAGCCCAAGGTAGCTGCCTGGAAGATGGCACACCTCAATGCTTCTGAAGGGAAAGGTGCTGCCCAGAGCTCAGAGAATCTCCCAGGATCTACAAACCATCTATAATATGTGCACCAGGTCTCATTCGCGCAGAAAGCTCGAAGGATAGCATTGGCCTGAGAATTTACTGTCACCCCACTGGAAACATTGTGCATGATGAACACTGCAGGCTTGATCCTTCTCCCATGGAGATACTTGTCTGGGGTTCATTGCATGTTAGCACGGCTCCCCAGAATGTGAGATGGCTGGCTCTGCTGAGCGCTGTTTGCACACGGTTGGCTCTTGCAGTTTGTTGACCACGAGGCACCCGCAGTCCTTGCCTGCAGAGTTGCTCCCAGCCTGGCCTGATATATGGGGCTGCTCCATCCCAGGCTCTGCATTTGCTCAGATTCCCCCAGACTGGCACCTCATCTCCAACAGCATCCTCCTCAGGCCATTTCATTTATCCTCCCCATCCCTGGGATTCCCTTGCAGATGTAGCAGCCCAAAGCCACAAATCAGCCCTTTTCAGAGCTCTTACAAGTCCCATCACACTGTTAAAAACACTGGGCCTATTGCATCCCCGCAGCCGCCACCAGATTTTGACTGCTAGTGTAACTGGAGTTCCCATCTCTGCTCTTCTCCAGCTTCCTCAGCAAAACAAGGAAGTCTGCAGGCATCTGCTCTAGCGAGCCAGCAATTAGACTTTAGTTGAACTATCCACTTGAAGGCAGGCAAAACCTCAGCTCCTGTGATAAAAGCAAGATTACAGACATATCATTCATTAACTATGCCCAGATTGCAATCTTGATTGCTCTTGCTTAATTAAATAGCTTCTAACCACAATGTTAGCTGTTCCCCAAATATTTGTATATTGGATACCTTGCCTCCAGTGATGCAGTGAGTTAGCACTTCCATCTTCTCCCGAACTGTAGGAGAAGAATTTGCTTTGTCTGAAAGCAAAGAAACATAATAGAAAATTATGGCCAGCTGCATGGAAAATGTAGAAGTTTCTGATGTCCCACATTTTATAGTCAGCTTTGTCTGTAAGTAAGTGATGAGCAAACTGTATGCTGGGTAAAACATCTGTTCAGCACCTATATTAATATGAACAAACTTGTGAAAATGGGAAACCCACAAAAGATGACTTCTATGGAGGGATCATGTGGGTCTGTGGCAGTCTGATTCATGGCTGGCTCGGTCTGCTTCCCTCTCTCCTGACCCAGCTATGGTCCATTCCTCACCTCTGATATTCGCACTGAGACCATGGCCTGCTCCTGCTTCGTGGTCTCCCTTATGCTGACAGATTGAAGCACTGAAACCCCATTTGCTTTGAGGACAGGGATAGAAATTCCTTATTGCTGATTCATGGAAGTGCTCAAACACAAGTTAATGTGTTATGGGTCTGAGAAGAGCCCTACACCCCCTCCAGAGAGCAGAGGCAAGGCAGAGGAGTCCTGAAGATCTTCATGGGAGCAGAGGCAAGTGTAGCTAGTGCACAGACCTTGGAGAAAGAGGAAGGTTGATGGTTACTATATTACTTTCTTTAAGTTCTGAAAAGGCAAATGACATTCAACCTTCCTTACCTTGCAGCTCCTCATTTCTACTAGCACACAAGGTGGACCTGCAAGGCTTGTGTGGATTCTCTTGGAGGCACCAGATAGAAATCAGTCAGACACTTCCTAGTGCTTTGGCTGATGGAAGAAAGATCCACTGAAAACTATGTGTTGTTTTACCCTGCACTAGCAGTGAGACCAGAAATTACTGAGTGACCAAGAAGGGTTCAAGGGAGATGTCTGTTTGCAGACCTCTACTCACAAAAGACAGGCTGGGACCCTTGTGCCAAGTGATGGCCTATGC